AACAGACCCACAGCCACCCTCCCCGCCACCACCCGCCGTAAGCCCACGCGCCAGCCCCCCACCACAAAAAAACCCTTGCGACCCTGTGACTCTCACCCCTGCCTGCACGGTGGCACCTGCGAGGACGACGGGAAGGACTTCACCTGCAGCTGCCCGGCGGGCAAAGGAGGAGCCGTCTGTGAGAAACGTACGTGTTTCTGACCCGTGTCTGTCCCTTACGCCAGCAAAAACAGCGCTGACTGCGCGGTGATGGAGAGACGTGGAGGCACAGACAAACCCAGCCCCATAGCTCGCACTGGCGCTGCACATGTGCCGGGCGGGGAGACACTGCAGGGATCAAGTTAAGTGGCTTAACTCTGCCACAAACAGGTTGTATGTGCGGGATGCGTTGTAAGAGGCAAGCACGGCAAGGCTGCAGGGTAAGAAGGTGCCAGGAGCAATTTCTTCCTGGCTCCGCTTCTGATACACCAGTGCCCCGAAGCGTGGAGGTTGTGAGCTTCTGCTTTTTTATCTCAGCTCCTGTAGCTAGTGATGGCTAGTTAGTGTAACAGAGAGACAGGTACTAACGGTCCTCTCGAGCACCAGGAGATGTGTGCTGGTAGTTCAGGCTCTTATTTCCTGGCACTCAGAGCTGCTTAGCAAACAGCTGCAGACTGGCAGCGTGCTTAACCAGAGCTGCTGTTCTTTACTGGGAGCTCCCACTGGCAGCGTGGTGTTACGCCGGGGGCTCTGGGTGGTTGTGAGTGCTTATTCCTGAAAATTTGTCCCTAAAGCTATCAGCTGGAATGCTCAAAGCTGCTACTGGATGTGGGTGTCCAGCCCTGTTAGTTTTAATAGCACTTAGCGTTCCAGATCCCTTGGAAAATCTCAACTGTAATAAATAAAAGCCTGGAGTGATGGATGTGAATCTGTCATGTGGGATTCTGGGAGGACAGATAAAAATTATCTAAGGAGCAGGGAAGTTGGGTTATGAGGAACTGTGTGCACAGCAGAGCTCAGCTGATGGCGCAGGGGATGCGATCACAGGGCATGGAGAGGACCAATGGTCCTGACCTGGGAGGAGCTGACTGGGACACCACTGAGGTTCAGTACTGGGGAGCAATCCACAGATCTCTAAAGCCTGGGAGCAGTCTTTGGGGGGCATGCCGTCACGGGAGGAGTTGGTTGCCACCAGTACGAGTGTGGGGGAGGCTGTGACAGGGGGTGATTGCGCAGGAGCATGGGCCCAGAGGAGAGAGGGAGCTTCTTTCTGCCGTTTCACAAGAGCTCTTTTTGCTTGCACAGATAGGAAAATGTTCACAGGCTCATGTCAGGCCTTTATCTGCTCTCTATCCTTCTGTTCCCTTCTCTACTTCATCCCTTCTTCCTTTCTCTACCCTGACTCTTGCAGCTATCAGGTACTTCATCCCCAGCTTTGGTGGCAAGTCCTACCTGGCCTTCAAGATGATGAAGGCGTACCACACCGTGCGCATCGCCATGGAGTTCAGGACGGTGGAGCTCAGCGGGCTGCTGCTCTACAACGGGCAGAATCGTGGCAAAGATTTCATTTCCCTGGCACTGGTTGGCGGCTTTGTGGAGCTCAGGTGGGTGCCCTTCCCTTCAGCCCTGTGTGGTGTGGAGGAAACGGAGCAGCTGCTCTTGCCAGAATGGTCCTTGCAGAACACCAGGAGGATGCTGGGCTTGAATTTGCAGGCTAGGAAAGAGTAGCATCAAATGGACAAGAAGAGAAGGAGCATTTTTTCCAGTGTAATAGGAATACTAAGGGGACCCGTTCCCTGTGGCACTTTTCAGCAAAGTTAATTCACGTATTTCAGTTGGAATTTTGAAAAGCTGAAAGGTGTGGGAGGTTTTCTGAGCAAGTGAGAGGTTTGTGGGGTTTTTTTTTGTACTGGAAAAAGAAAGGCAGGGGAAAAAAGGGAGAAAGGCCCCAGAAATCTGACATGAAATGATTTTTCCAGTTCCAAAAGCCAAAGGCGCAGGTTTGGAATGAGGCGAGGTGGAGGGCAGACCTCTGGAAACTGCAGCCCCCAGAGGAGTTCTCAGGCAGACAGTCCCAGTGCTCAGTGGGGGACGGCTGTGCGCTCCCAGTGCAGCCAGGTCCAGAGATGGGGCGGGGGGGGATGCTCCCGAGTGCTCCCAGCTTCTCCCTGGGATGCGGCAGCCCCTGTGCCATGGCACAGATGTCACCTTTCTGCAGGGTGGCACAGACATAGACCTCCCTCTCTTCTTCTCCAGGTTTAACACTGGCTCCGGCACGGGCGTCATCACCAGTAAGGTCCGTGTTGAGAGTGGGCCCCGTTGGGTGTGAAACCGCAACCGCCGCAGTGGGATGCTGTCGGTTGATGGGGAGCCCCACGTCAGCGGGGAGAGCCCGACGGGCACCGATGGGCTTAACCTTGACACGGACCTGTTCATCGGGGGAGCACCTGAGGACCAAATGGCCGTGTGAGTGAGGGTCCTGGACCGCTTCCCTGGGTGCCGCAGCATCTGCTGCTGCTGCGGGCAGAGCATCCATGGTAGCAGAGCATCCTGCTAGCAGGCTCCAGGCTTCTTAACGCCCTGCTAGGGAGCACAGCCTGACCCAGATGCTTGGAGGACCTCTGTATTTTTGCATTTTTGTCCTCGGAAACAAAATGCCCATCCACTTTGTCCTCTGTCCCCTTCAGGGTGGCAGATCGTACCGCGGCTACAACCGGCCTGAAGGGCTGCATCCGCCTCCTGGACGTGAACAACCAGATGTACGACCTGCGGGAGAAAGGCAGTGATGTGCTGTATGGCAGCGGGGTGGGCGAGTGCGGCAACGACCCCTGTCACCCCAACCCCTGTCACCATGGTGGCATCTGCCACGTCAAGGAGGCAGAGATGTTCCACTGCGAGTGTCTCTACACCTACACCGGTACGGGGAGGGGGTTGCCGACAGAGCATTGCTGGGGCTCCTGATCCCCCTGGCTCCCCCTGAGGGATCCTGGAGCCTCTGGGGGTTCATATGATGAGCTACAGTGGGGAGGGACGTGGTGTGGAGTGTCAGCAGTGGGTTAGAGGGAGAAGTGTAGGGTGAAGCCGCATCCAGTGAGGTCAGTACATTCAGAGTGTAGGCCTCTTCCTATGCACGTAAGACAAGGGCCAGGATCTGTTTGTTCTCATGCACAAAAAAATTTTCCCCTTGCATGTTAGGGATGTAGTCTGGCACGGGTATCATCTGCCGTTTGTGGGGTCCACTGTGAGGGGCTTCTCGGGTCATGGGAACCCCACCTGAGACAGGAGAAAAAGACTGGTAGGCCATCAGGAGACATCAGAGACATTTATCGTGGCCATCAGGCCAGATTGTGCCTGATGGGCTGTCGGTTTGAGATGCTGACGTGATGGGACTGCCTTTTCTGCTGCAGGCCCAACGTGTGCCGACGAGAGGAATCCCTGTGACCCTTCGCCCTGCCACGTCTCTGCCACCTGCCTGGTGCTGCCGGAGGGAGGTGCCTTGTGTGCCTGTCCCATGGGCCGGGAAGGAGACTTCTGCGAGCTAGGTGGGACGGGAGCTGGCAGAGGAGCGGGGCTGGGGAAGGGGGTAGAACTGAAGGGGCTGATTTTCCCCAGCCTGGGTAGACAGGAGGCATTGCCTGCTGTGGTGCTGGGGCACTAGCTGAAGCTGCTCTGCCTCCTCTTCCTCACCATTCCCTCGTTTGTGCCCAGTGACAGAGCAGGACCACACCATGCCTTTCCTCCCGGAGTTCAATGGCTTCTCCTACCTGGAACTGAATGGGCTGCAGACCTTCGTTCCTGACCTGCAGTAAGTGCCAGGGAATGGGAGAGGGACAGGCAGGTGCATCGCCTGCGGGGCTGATTTGGGAGAGAGAGCTCGTGCTCTGGGCCTCGCCTGGCATATCCGGGCTCTCCCTAGAGCTCTCCCCTTTCACCTGGAGGGTTTGTCCAGAGGGACTGGCATCGCCAGAATCCCTACAGCCATACTGAGCCAGCACCATACCCTGGTTGCATGGCATTGCAACAGGCTGGGTAAATAGGCACTGCGGAGCAGCACCCTGAACATGGCAGAGGTATCGCTTGCCTGGCAAGGGTACCTTACAGGGGTGGCATCTCTCTGCCGTACCTGTAGTCCCAGGCAGGCAGAGGTTTTCCAAGGACTTGGTGCACAAGGGTGGAGGAAGAGAGCGTGTGGGCAGCTGGATTGGAGGATCTCTGTAATCCTTCTCTCCTCAGGGATAAAATGTCCATGGAAGTTGTGTTCCTGGCCAAGAACCCCAGCGGCATGATCTTCTACAACGGCCAGAAGACAGATGGCAAAGGGGACTTTGTCTCTCTGGCCTTACACGATGGTTACCTGGAGTACAGATACGACCTGGGCAAAGGGGCGGCTGTGCTCAGGTAAGGTGGGCTGCGGGCTGGGGCAGCTGCTCATCAGGGTGGTGGTGACCACAGAGGCATGAGGGACAGTGGTGGCTTTCGGTGTCCAACACTGGCTTTTTGTGCTCCCCTTTACGGAAAACTGTAAGGCAACAGGGAAGGGCAGGCTTCCTACTAGCTTCGGCTGTTTGCAGCAATGGCTTTTGGTCGGCTGTCCCATTGTGGGACAGGGCAGAGCTGGGCCTGTCCCTGGTTTCTGCCTCTTTCCCGGGCTGATGATGGGCTGTCTGTGGCTGCGAGCTGGGGTAGCCCAAGCTGGTCAAGTTGCGGTGGCCTGGGCAGCCCAAGCCACTCAGGGCAGGTTTACGGTGCTGTGTTTGTAGGCAGAGCTCTCACCCGTGTGTCTTCTCCTCCCTTCTCACCTCCAGGAGCAAAGAGCCAGTTCCCCTCAACACCTGGATAAGTGTCTTGTTGGAGAGGAACGGACGCAAAGGGGTAATGAGGATCAACAATGGCGAGAGGGTGATGGGAGAGTCACCGGTGAGTTGGTGGGCCAGGGAGTGCTCTCTGGGCTTCCAGCCCTGCTCCTCTCCTGTGTGAAATGAGCCGAGAAGTTCCCAGGCTCTCGTGGGCTTTTAATCCCTGTGGTTCATGGCTTTAAGGGTGGTGGAGGAGGAGTGGGCGAGACCTGGGGAGAAAAGGATGCTGCGGGGCAGAGCTTGCCTGCCTTTCTTGGCTGCTCTGTGGCCCGACCCTGGTGCTGTAGGACAACAACTGGACACCTCTTCCAGCTCGTCCTCCCTCCTTGTCCTCCACCACCCACAGAGCCGCGGCGCCTTTGCCAGCACCACGCATGCCCTGATTCTTGGGGCCTTGGTTTCAGGGATGTGTTTGAGCCCCCTTCACACACACTTACACCACCCCCCCTTCACCCTTTTTTTGCAGATCCTCAACCGTCCCTGTATTGGGACAGGTACGCAAGGCACCCTTGCAGCCCGTGGTGCCACTGTGTCGGGGCCGCGTGGGTTTTGGCCTCATCCCTTGATGCTGGGGCTCAAGAGCCCTCCACCGTGCTGGCTGCATGGGGAGCTCAGCCGGGAGGAGGTCACGGAGTAGTAAAAACCCCGTTGCACTGTTGCTGCTGAATCCATTAGTGCCTTCTCTCCTCTTGTCTCCGAGCTGGCAGCTTACCTCGCCACCTTCTCCCAGTGCCCTCTCCCCTCTGTGCTTCCATCTCTGCACAAGGAGCAGTTCCCCGGGGTGTCACGGCAGGGCCACTGGCCTTCATGTCGTCCGCCTTTCCAGCCGGGAAGCTGATAATGCGGGAAAAGCCCCAATTGCTGCTGAACTCATCCTTAAGATCCACCTAGAAGTGCAGCGTCAATATTCCTGCCCAAAGAAGGGATTTCTTCCTTCCCCTCACTCTCGTCTTTTCAAGCCTCTCTCCAAGCAAAGGTTACCCCGGCCGGTGGGGTGGCAGCGGCCCCTCCTGATGCCTCCTGCAGCTCCCCTTCCCCGGGTACCCCTTGCAGCGGTGGTCTTGCAGCCCTGCATGTTACGATGTGACCCACTGATCTTCCTTTTCTCTCTCTCTCTCTCTTTTTTTTCTTTCTCTCTCTCACTTTGATTTTTCGTTTGTATTTTTCCCTCCCCTGCTGTCTGGATCCCAGAAATCCCGTAAGGTAAAGATAAGTATGACCCACCGCACCTCCATCTCATCTGCCATTGGCACGTTGTGCTGTTTTGTTTTCCATTCAAATCTCAGTGTTTCACCCCCTCCCCTTCCCATCTGACCAAGCAACTTTAGGACCTCTGTAGATTAGAGACACTCGTTTCCTCTTCCGTCATTAATTTCCAGCCGGTTGTTACATTTTTGTTTCGGAAGCATTTCAATTAATCCGGTCATGTTTCTCGTGTTAACTCCACAAAGCATTAGCTAGTGATTCATATAACTGCATCTTTGCCTCGCTGCTCTGCCTCTGGGTCCATCCCAGGTGCTCGGGAAGGGACATCGCTCCCACCGGGTGCCCGGCGAACGATGTGGCTGAAGACTTACCTGGGACTTCCCATGCTGTGCCGTTGGCGCTGCAGGGTGACAGCAAGGAGGGAGGCTTGCTCCTCCAAAAATGCAGCCACGTGAGATGCAGGAGAACCTCCTCTAACCATTTGCTGTAGGGGACCTGTAGCAGCCAGGTGAACCCAAGCTGAATCCCTCTGGGTTCAAACATTAACCCTGGCGAGACTAAAGCAATATTTCTTTATTTGGTTTTGGCAGTCACACAAAACCAGAGGCCTCCACGTCAGGAGAGCATTAGAACAGCATCTCCCCCAAATTAAATTCCCAGGAAATCTTTTCCTTGTGTGACTGCTGGCAGGCAGGACCTTGCAGCTTGGCATGGGGAGGTTCGCTGGAAGCCCCTTTCTCCCAGCACCCTTCACAGAGCCCGGTTTGGTACCAGATAACGTGAAGCTCACCCGCTCCCCGTGCTCGGCAGCGGCTCACGCCAGCAGTGCCGTGGCTGGTGACCCGCGGCAGGTCCCGATGGCAGGGCAGGGAGGCAGAGGGCTGTGGGGTGTACGGGGTGGCCGGGCTGGGGCAGGGTGGCTGACAAGGGCCAGGAGCAGTACAGGGAATGGAGAGAAAGGTGGGAACCCGGTCTTAAGCGGGATGCTGAGCCCAGCCTGCCCTTCCCTGCCCAGCCCACCTCCTGCCTGCCCTAGGGCAGGGCTGTGCCGGACCCCGGCATGCTTTCTGAGGGACTCTCCTGCTCCAGCCTCCGCAGAGATGGCTAGCGGTACCCCACAGCAGCCCTGCCCAGGACACAGCCCGTGCCTTAAGGGAGGGATTTTGGGGAGTGTGGGGGACAGGCGAGCGTTGCTTTCTTTCCCACCAGCCCTGGTTGTGCAGGGGTGCCTGCCCTGCTCGCAGCCTCCTTTAGTCCCTACGGAGCTGGGCCAAGTGCCCAGCTTGCAGCTTAGGGAGAGCCTGACATCTTCTCCATCTTACCTTCTCCCCTCTCTTCCCCAGGTGCCTCACACCTTCCTGAACCTGAAGGAGCCATTTTATGTGGGGGGAGCCCCTGATTTCAGCAAGCTGGCTCGAGCAGCCGCCATCTCCACCCGCTTTGATGGAGCTGTGCAGAGGGTAAGGCCCTACCAGGCAGCGCGGGGCAGGTCTCTGGCTGGGAGATGGCTGTCATCTGCGGTGGCATCGCTGGAGGGGAGTGAGGATGAGCCTGGGAGTGGGCTGCCCCAGCACGTGGGTCCATGTGCATGGGGAGGAGGGCACAGCCAGTTGGAAAGTGGCAGAAGGGGGAGGTGGGGGTGCATGACAGGAACGCGTGGGGCTTGAGGCTGGGTTCCCATCTCCCCCTTTCTCCCCAAGGATACTGGCCTCTGTCCCCCACCGGCCCCGCAGAGAGGTGGAGGCTGACCCTTGTGCTTCCTCTTGGTTGTATCTGCCAGATCTCCATCAAGGGGGTGCCTGTGCTGAAGGAGCAGAACATCCGCAGCGCCATCGAGATCTCCCCCTTCCGAGGCCACCCCTGTACCCAGAAACCCAATCCTTGCCAGAACGGAGGCACTTGCAGCCCCCGGTTAGAGAGCTACGAGTGTGCCTGCCAGAGGGGCTTCTCGGGGGCTCACTGTGAGAAAGGTGAGACTGCCAGGGTAGGGTTGGACATGGACCCCCGCCCATTAGCCAGACACGGCAATGAAACTGCTTTGATGATGAGGTGGTGGCAGCAGGACAGTGGGCGGCTTAGGCCAAGCCTGAGGTCTTGTCCTTGTTGTGGCTGTCGGGGGGGATCCAGGGGAAACAAGCCGTGGCGTTTGCAGGCTGGTACTGTTGTGTGAAACGGGGACTATGCCATTTCTCCGGCAAATGCTGCTGCTCACGGGTAGAGATCACCCAGCCCCGTCACCTCTTCCCATCAGTGCTCTCTGATCCTGGTTTATATTGCTGTGCTCACTTGAAGCAGCCTGGGGCAGGGAAACGTGGTTTGGTGCTGGAACAGATTCACCTGGAGGGCCTGAGCAATGCCTAGCTGTCTCCACATCAGGGTTTCTTTCCTACTGCCTCCCTGAGTTTAGCGCTTGGGCCACCACCGAGCCCAAGTTCCTCCCCATCTTCCACCAGGAAACCAATAAGGCTGCAGATTTCCTGACAGTTGGCTGCAAAACAGGGAAATGGTCCAAACTTACGGGCTCTAAAGCCACAGCAAACCTTTCCAAGGGCTTACTTAGAGTGCCACAGTGCTGACGTGCCCCAAGGGATGGCAGGTTTGTGCATGCCTTCGTCCTGTGACAAATGTTCAGTGTAAAGGGGGATTTTCCTAGTCTCCAAGGATGGACAGGCCATGCTCCGTTGCCTGACAGCTCTTCTTTTTCCCCACTTCCAGTGATCATTGAGAAGGCTGCTGGAGATGCAGAGGCCATTGCTTTTGATGGTAGGACATATATGGAGTACCACAATGCCGTGACAAAGAGGTAACTTGGCTGCTGAGCTGACCCAAGGTCAAAATAAGGAGTTAAGGCTGTTAGCAGGAGGAAGAACTAGGGTCAAAGAAATCCAAGTGCAGTGCTTAAAGAGGGGCAAACCAAACCGGGGCCGTGAGCAGGCACTTGCAGCCCTGTACCTCTAAAGCTGCCTTGTTGGCAGAGGGCTTTCCCACAACGGCACTGCCTGGCCAACTTCAGGTCTGGATGCTCTCATTCTGCACGTGTGGGCCATCTTCTGGGTTAGCACAGTCTGGTTGGGGAGTGGGATGAAGCTGACTGTGTGCACCCCATGAAGATGGTTAATGTGACTTGTGCCCTCCTCTGGGTTGGTGCCTTTCTTTGCCCACGTGCTCAGGGATGGGTTTAATGGTTTCATTCACGCCTGTCTGCCAGCTCCTTCGTCTCCTTGGCTGTTTGTGCAGCAAGGGTCGGTCCTGCCAGCAGGATCGGGCCATCGCTGCCGTGGGATTTGAGCCTTCTCCAGCATCTGCTCAACCCTGACCCCATGGGCTGGGGGTACCTGTTTGGACCCTGTGGTCTACTGTGGCTGTACTGGTCCCTGGGGTTTCTCTCTCAACATAAGCAGAGCCTGCTACACAGCTTCTGACTGAGGTCCTCTTCAATATCTGGGCTGGATACTTCTCCTACAGGAGACTCTTGGTTCACCATGGTCTGGCTCAGTACCCTTCCTCACCACTGTGCTCCTACAGCCACCGGGGTTAATTCCCATCTCCTCGGCACGGGGACAGGGTATTGCATTAGGCTCCGTCCATCTCTCAGATTCCCTGCTGCCCTAACACCCTGCCTGGGGACGATGTCTGTGTTTGAGCTGTTGTTTGTTGGTCTCTGTCTGTCCGTCTCTTCTCAATGTCCTTGTTTCTTTGTTTTCAAGCCACCTCACCAATGAGATCCCCGCGTAAGTACAGCCATCTGCCCTCTACCATGTCTCCCATTGCCACCCCGACCACCCGCAGGGGAGCACAGGGTGGGTTTGGGAGGAGGAATACGGGCAGTTTCCATGGGGTCTGCCATGGGCAGGTGTTCCCGTTTGAGGGTGAGGAGGACACAGGTACTGACCGCAGTTTTTGTGGCCGTACAGGGGCCCAACCACGGCCAAGATGCCGCAGGAGCTACCGTGCCTGGCTCTGCTGGGGTCAGACGTTGTCCCAGCAGCGTGCTGCAACTTAGCCTTAGTTTAAGAGGATGAGCGTAGGGGAGGAAAGTTCCTGTGACTTACCTCTTCCATCAGCGGCAAAGGCACTACTGGTGGAAATAAGGGGTGCTAATCCTGCTCTGATTTTTCCAGCACGATTGCTGCCGTAGCAAGGAGGCCGGGCTGGATGCTCGGAGAATGTTCCCCAGTCAGGGATGCGTGGCCTGGGCAACCCCTCACAACGTGCAGTGCGGCCGGGGGCGGCAGAAGAAAGTCCTGAGTGGGATGGGGAGATGGGAGAAGGGCTTCTTCCCTCGAGTGGGCTTGACAGCTGTCAATTTGCTGTCTGTCTGTCTTGCTGAGCGGCAGGAGTGGAAGAGAAGCACTGGTTCACGCAGCTGTATTCCCCACTGTCTGTGGGAGAGTTTGTGATACCTCCTTGTCACATCCCCATTTCACCTCATTTTGTACAAGCTGGGGTCAGACAGGGGCTCGGCAGGCTGAGTTGCATGCATGCATGCATATC